TACAGTTCTTCCCAGTAGTTTCTTATGATCCTTTATATTTCATTGGTATCAGTTGTAATGGCTCCCTTTCAACTCTAATTTTATTTGATTTTTTTTCTCTTTTTCTTTGTTAGTCTGGCTACAGGTTTATCTATTTTAAATTTGAATCCCTGTTTGAGAATGGCCACTTAAGCTCATTGTCATTCAAGAGAAGAGCCAAAGAAATGAGAACCCTTCTATTAACAAGGTCCTGATGGCCTTCAGAAGTTGGCTTCCACACTCTATTGCCAACAACTGTCTTCAAACATCTCATTTCGTAATTAAGAAGCAGGCTGTATTTAGAGGGTTTAGTCAATAGTTCCGATATAGAAGGTGGAGAGTGTATCTGGCATCCAGAACACATCATAAATCGTCACTGATAGCTGGAACGGCAGATCTTCCAAGTGGGAGCATAATAAGGACAGAACCGCTAAGGACCCATGAGGCCAATCAGCAAGATGTAAAGGGGGAAAAGTAAGGGCTCTGGCTCTCTAATGAGAGATGGCAGTAGCAGAAAATGCTTTCTTATTAAAACCTCTGCCAAGTAATAAGCATGCCTGCTAGCGGCCAAATTTCCATTTTGTGCAAGAAATAAGAATATGCCAGTTATACCATGAATACATAAAATAATTCTGAGTGACAGAGAGTAAGAGTGAAAGTGATGGACCAACCACACATCCAAAACAAGCTAATGGTACTGACCAGGAAAAAAGATATATAATTAATGTGTAAACACTGAAAAATATTTACAAAATAGGATTAATTCCACAGACATCATTGAAAAAATATCATTTTTATAGATGTTTTCTGCACTGATGCTAAATATACTAAAATCATACATAATGATATGCTTAACCCCTTGAAAGCAATTGACCTATGAAACTACTGTGGTAATAGCCATTTGGCTTAAATTGATGAAGATACTCTGAGTCTTATTGGTTCACCGAACAGACAGGATACATGCATGACAAGAAACTCAAGCAAGTGGAAGATCAGGCTTCTGGAAGCCAAGGACGGGTAGAGTCATAAATCTAACTTTGGATAAGACACCCTCAATTCTCACTCAGCAAAAGAGGAAGTAATAAAACAGCAAGGAGCTATAGACAGTCTATGCTAAGATTTGGATTATCACCTTGGATAATGAATGTCCCCCAAGGGCCCATGTATTAAAGTTTTGGTCCCCAACATCTCATGTAAATGTACAAAGAGAGGAAACTTAGTCCAATTATGGGATTTGAAGGTGGAGATTTCAGGAGGTGATTAGATTGGACTGGGCCACCAAGGCAGAACCCCATGGTTAAATTCTGGTGACTTTTTGAGAGACTTCCTAGACACAGATGCTTTCTCTTGCCATGTGATGCTCTGCACTGCCTCTGGACTCTGCAGCAAGAATGCTACCATCAGAGGCTGAAAAACTGGGGCCCACCCAATCTTGCCCTGTGAATCTTACAAACTGCAGCCTGAAATCAAGTTCCTTTCTCTATAAAATTAGCCATCTCCAGTATTTTGTCATAGTGACAAAAAATTGACTAATACAGTTTGCCACCTCTAAAGTCCTGAGCAATGCGAGGCAAGGCAAGAATTTGCGTACATATCTAATTTAACAGTGAATCACAGAACACTGCTTGGGAGACTTGAGCTCTAATTCATTCCACGATGCATGCCACTGAGAAACTTACATAAACTCATGGAATATCAAATCTCTCAAGTTAAAATGGGGGAATATTCTACCTCTCTCTCTGTTACATGTATTATGCAGCAATCTGGACAAAGAGGATTCTCAAAAAGAAAACAAAATGCAAAATGAGCCTAGAACAGTACCTGGTGCTTAAAAGACAATCAGTCTACAGGTGTTGTTTACATGAATGATTGATGGTGGTTCTTCAGGTCACCCAGAGACCTAGTTGGCATCCTATCACTGATGGATCTTTAAATGTGCCCAGAAACTGGACCAGAGTATTCAGTAGAACAAGTAAGGGAACCACAAATTATGGGTGCCAATGAGTCGTCATCTGCCATATTTAAGCCAGTCCTGATAGGGACATTACTTCCTATGGGAATCTGATAACATACACATCTTCAGGTCTTGTAGCCACCAAGCCAGGAAACACAGATACTTTTGCCAGCCAAGTGAGCCACTGCTGAAGAATGGTGGAAAGTGTGTACTGGGGGAAAGGCAACTCAGGTGTTGGGCCCACGGATCCCTAAACACTTTTCAGCTCCCACTCAGATACCACTTTCTAATTTAACAGATTACTGGTCTAACCTAGAAATACATTACAGTATTGTGCTCCATCCTAGTGTACAGTCCTGTTGAAAGGAACTGAGTTCCTTTATTCATTTTCCCTAAACGTACTGGTTCCCACTATAAGCGGGTGTTGACAGTCATTATGTGCAAAAATGAACATGTTCCACTTGCTATGAACTGGAAGTTTGTGTCCCCTCTAAATTTGTATGTTGAAACCCTACTCCCTAAACTAACAGTATTAGGACAAGGGGGCTTTGGGAGGCGTCCTCATGAATGGGACTAGTGCCTTCATATAAAGGAAGTCCCAGAGAACTGCCTTGCCCCTCCTACCATATGAGGACACAGTGAGAGTATGCCATCTGGGAGCATTCAGGTCCTTTCCAGACACTGAATCTTTTGGGACCTTGATCCTGGACTCCTCACCTTCCAGAATTGTGAGAAATAGGTTTCTGCTGCTATGGGCTACCCAGGCTAAGGTGTTGTGTTACAGCAGCCCAAATGGACCAGGAAACTACTCTTCACTCTCCATGTCTACTAAAGGAGGACAGCAGGTGACTTATTGTTAAAACATAATATGGTGGGGCTGGCACTGTGGCGTAGTGGGTAAAGCTGCCACCTCCAGCACTGGCATCCCATATGGGTGCTGGTTCAGACCTGGCTGCTCCACTTCCAATCCTGCTCTCTGCTGTGGCCTGGGAAAGCAGTAGAAGATGGCCCAAGTCCTTGGGCCCCTGCACCCATGTGGGAGACCAAGAGGAAGCTCCTGGCTCCTGGCTTCGGATCGGCACAGCTCTGGCCATTGTGGCCATCCAGGGAGTGAACCAGCAGATGGAAGACTTCTCTCTCTCTACCTCTCTCTGTAACTCTGTCTTTAAAATAAATAAAATAAATCTTTACAAAAACAAGAGGTTATTTGAAGGGAAGGTCTTCCTTGCTGAAGTAGGGGAAGAAAGTATATTCTAGCCATAGGTATGGCCTTTTAAAAACAAGGATGCACCAAAAAGGTTAATTATGTAGTTGGACAATAAGAAGATATTTGAAGCCAGGACTAGTGTGTGTTGAAAGTAGGAGAAGAAAAATGGGGAACAGAGCTGGGGAAGTGGGTCTCAGTTGCACTGTTTATAACTCTTACTATCACTGCAAGAGATCTGGTTTTGTCTGAAAGGTTTTAGAAAGACAAATCTTAGGGGCCAGGTAAGCAAGATTCATCAGGTAGACAGGAGGACCAATTAGGAGGCTACTGTAATATATTGGGCAAATGTAGATAGGACTCAAACTAAGTATGTCAGTGATACTAAGGCACAGGGAGTAACAAAGAAAGGAACAAAAGATGACTTTCTAGATTTCATAACTGTTGGTTAAGCTTTGTTTCAGGAAGAAGAAGACTAAAAATTCATGTCTTCAGTTGGAAACACCAAATGTAAAGTTCAGCCTTCTCATTTATAAAATGAGGATAGCTAATAGATAATAAAATTGCATATTGGAGTTGTTAGGGAGATTAAAGATGATAAACAGAAAGAAGATAGTATTAATATTTGTGACAAGTTATGGAAGTATGATCTCAGAGAGAATCTGGGGCAGTAGAGAAACATTTGGGAGTTATTATCTATAAGTTATGGTTAGAAGTGTTGGAGGGTGTAAACACAATCATCCATAGAAATGACACCCGGAACTCACTCTAGTGCAACCAAATATGAAGATCATTGGACATTAAAGTATAGACCAGAAAGAAGACTTTATAGGACTCATCCAAATATGGGAATCTTGAGAAAATGAGGATGTCATGAAAAAAATAAGCAGCAAAGCGCCAAAAGCACCAATTCTGTCCAGAAGCTGGTAGGATGGAAGCTGGAATGAGTGAATTTAACATTAAGGAGGTCACAGTTAATCTCAGCAAAAGCAATTCCAGGGGCAGGTGCTGTGGCATAGTAGGTAAAGCTGCCACCTGCAGTGCCAGCATCCCATATGAGTACTGGCTGAAGACCTGGCTGCTCCACTTCTGATCCAGCTCTCTGCTAACTGCCTGGGAAAACAGTGGAAGAAGGCCCAAGTGCTTGGGCCCCTGCATCCACATGGGAGGCCTGGATGAAGCTCCTGGTTTCTGGCTTTGGCCTGGCCATTGTGGCCATTTGGGGGAGTGAACCAGTAGCTGGAAGACTTTCTCTGTCTTGACTTCTCCCTTTCTCTAACTCTTTCAAATAAATAAATAAATCTTAGCAAAAAAAAAAAAAAAAAAAAAAAAGGCAATTCCAATGGCGGAGAGGAGTGAAACCAGATCACAGCTCCTTTAGGAATGTCATATTTCTGTGACATTTTTGGACACTGGATGACCTTTAAATGGGGGAATGCATTCTGTAAGGCTGAAACACTGAGATTTTACTCTCCCCCAGGAGCTACAAATAAAAAATTACTTTTTAGTTAATTTAAAGAAGAAAAAGGACTTGGGAATCAGAGTATGAGAAAACTTCTGCTCTTGGGATGCTTTGCTGTATTTTTTTCATGGATAAAAGGTCACTTGGATTTTGGGAAAAGAGTGAAGAGACAATAAGAACAAAATACAGAACAGCACACAAAAAATAGCAATTTCTGTAGTCATGCAATACTAATCCAGTGCCAGCAATACTAATCCAGTGCCAATGTCCCAATAGCGTATGCTCCCTTGAGATCACACCCACCTGCCAAGGGCCATTAAAAATGCAGATGTGCAAGCACTTGATGATACCACCACTCTTACCTTTCTTTTGATATCAGTGAACTGGGAAAACATTAAAGACCAATAAAACGACAGCTCCAGGATGTAATAGTAGTGAAGATCAGTCGTGAGCGGCTGGGGATGAAAGGAAAAGAGGAGAGATTCATAGTTAATAGGAGATTCAGTTTGTACCTCCCAGCACCTCAGCTCAATGCTGAGAACTGGCCTATGCCTGCACAAATGCAGTCCCTACCCTATTCCCTTTGTAGATAACAGGGCTTTGAAGGATGCCTGTAATCCACAGCTGGACGGCATTGCTTTCATTTCCAACCCAAAAGGTGTTCATCATCATGAACATTTGGTACCCAATTCATTATTAATTTTAACAGCAGTGTTTATCGTTTTTTTAGACACTGGTATCTGCAAAATTCCTTGGGTAACCTGAAAAGACATTCAAACACAGATGCTGAAAGAATAACCCTGGGCAACTGTTTAAGAGTCTGAAGTACAGACTAGGAGGTAGGTGACAAAAATGGGAGTGTTTTAGGTGTCAAGTTCTGCATTAATCAGAAAGCTCTCTTGTTATTAGGGAATGCTTGAACCGTAGCAAATAAAAAAAATAATGATTCAAAAACATTTCTCAAAAGATCAGAGGACCAAGGAAGCTGCCAAGAGATAGAAAACTAGGCACCCAGCCAGGAAATCCAAGATCAAGTCCTGGATCCACAGCATAGTAGGCATAAAACTTGGGCCTTAGTTTATTATTTGTAAAATATGGGTGATATCTGATTTAACTGCCTTGGAAGCTCAGAGATGGGGAAAGGCAGAGAGAGACAGTGGAAATCAGAAATATGTGCTTAGCACATAAATCCATAAACACAAAACATTTTATGAGTAGGCTATGATGAGGTGATTTTGTTTTATGAGGTATAATGAAATGTCTTACTTTACCAAAATCAATGAAACACCTCTGAAATTCGCCACATGAACATGTCTGTGCCCCTATATACAAGCTGACACTATATGTTAATACAATTCAAATTATGTGTGTTGGACATCACTAGCAGCAGAATGAATGGCTAGCTGGCACTCAGCTAATCACCAACTCTGAGCAAAGGCATCAGGGGAGACAACTATTCCTGCCACAGACATTTGGCAACGAAATACACGGGCACAGGGCACTATCCAAGCAACAGTGTTAAGGTCCCAATGATGATGAGCACAGTTATGGACTGCATGTTTGTTTGTGGTCTTTCCCCCACTCCCCCAATTTACATGTTGAAGTCTAATACCCAATGTCAGGGAATCTGAAGATGCGGCTTCTGAGATGCAATTAGGTCACGGGAGTGAAATTCTTCTGAGCTGGACTGGTGCTCTTTCAAGAGGAAACTGACCTCCGCTGATGGTATTCTGGCCTAGCAGCCAGAACTAAGGCAAGTATCGATGTTTTTATTAAGCTCAGCATCACCCTGAAGAGAATGCATGTCCTCACTGAACTGGCCTTTTTACAACTTGAGGGCATTAGCAGTGAGGGATGGGTGTTCAGGGCAGACGTACGGCTGCAAATAAAGTCTTAAAAAGTAGGTCCTTGGCTTAACAATCCTTGGAGCCAAGGTCAAATTTCAATTTTAATGAGATCCTCTTCCTCCTGGCATCCCGCCTGGCGAAACGCCTCAGAGAGGTCACGAGGACAAGCTACAGCACATCTGGAAACCGCTGACTTCTCCAGAGAGCATCACGCTACAACGACTGCATCTACAGACTGCCTTGCATCTGACAAAGCTCACTCACAGGCTGACTTCTTTGATTCTCATAAAAATCTTACACAATTAGTACCAATGCATTCTAGATCTAGATTGTACAGATGACAGGAAATGCAGTTAATTAAGGTTAAGAGGTTTGAGTCCAGGCGTCACAGCTGCTGAAGCCCTATGACCACCACACTGGGGCTTCTCATGCCCACCTTGTGTTCCCTATGATGAGCTACTCCAGGTTCAACTGAATGCTTCATTACATTATTTTAAACTTACAACATGCATGTTTATATAAAAATTACTATAACACACAATAAAATGTAGATGCCCATACAGAAGGAGCAACACATCCTTAGCAAAACTGACATATATCACTACGTTTTCATTTAAAAACCTGTTGGGGCCGGCACTGCGGCACAGTGGGTAAAGCTGCTGCCTACAGTGCCAGCATCCTATTTGCGTGCCATTCAAGTCCCTGTTGCTCCACTTCTGATCCAGCTCTCTGCTGTGGCCTGGGAAAGCAGTGGAAGATGGCCCAAGTCTTTGGGCCCCTGCACCCGCGTGGGAGACCCAGAAGCAGCTCCTGGCTCCTGGCTTTACATTAGTGCAGCTCCGGCCATTGTGGCCATCTGGGGAGTGAACCAGCGGATGGAAGACCTCTCTCTCTGCCTCTCCTTCTCCTCTCTGTGTAACTCTGACTTTCAAGTAAATAAATAAATCTTTCAAAAAAAATCTGTTCAGTTACTTATGTGCTTGCTATATATGCTAAAAGCATAACAAATAAGTTTCATGAGCAAGCTTTATCTATAAAATGCTCTTAAGGCTTACAAGTGTACTATGATCTACTGCATTTATTTACAGACATGATTACATGCAAAGCACTATGAGTATAATACTTATATAATAATTTGGTGCTGTTTAATTTTTTCCCATACATCTAAGAGGAAAGGCCCGTATATATAGGGCCTTTCATAATTTTTTTTCTACAAGTACGAGGTGTTTATCAAGGATGACCTCCATTTCCACCAAAGACTATGAATCTGTCCTGGATGCTGAATTAGTCACCATAAAGCAATGATGTCCTTAAATAAGACCAGTGTCTGCATATAATAACTGATAGAATTAAAAAGGAGAGAATGATCCTACATGGGAAGCAGGGTACACAGCAGATTCATAGAATGGCAAATGCCCTAAACAACATTCTGGCCTCAGAATCAGCCCTTAAGGCATTTGGATCTGGCTAAAAAGCCCATGAGAATTTTACAGGCATGGAAAGCCAAGACACTGTGGAAATAAATAAATAAATAAATAACCTAAATGAAAGATCTCTGTGAATGAGACCCCAGTGGAAAGAACAGGCCTTCAAAGAAGGAAGTACCTTTCTCTGAAGGGAGGAGAGAACTTCTACTTTGAATGTGGCCTCGTATAAATAAGATCAGAGTTGGTGAACTCAAGAGGCTTCCATAGCCTTGACAGCTCATGACAAGAGCCTCGGGTGCTGATCCCACAAATAAGAGTGTCAATTGTTAAATCAACAACAGGAGTCACTGTGCACCTGTTCCCCATGTAGGACCTCTGTCCTTAATGTGTTATACTAGGCAAATTAACGGTAAAACTACGACTCAAACAGTACTCTATACTTTGTGTGTCTATCTGGGTGCAGTCTGTTGAAATCTTTAATTAGTATATACTAAGTTGATCTTCTGTATATAAAGATAATTGAAAATGAAAAAAAAAGCAATGCTGTCTCATCAGTAAAAGATCATCTTATTCTATAAGTCCCACATGGGGCATTTTTCCTTCCATACTAATGGTGTTTCCTATTTGTAAACATGATTGCAGATGCTCAACCCAAAAGCTTTCACATTGAATCTTTTTTTTTCCCACAGTAATTGAGAAATTTTAATAATCACAGCTATAGACAGGTTTCATTATTCAAGACCTCTAGTAATATGTAACTTAGACTCTACTATTATATTATTTGAATTTTTAAAATGGTATCTAACAAAAAATGTTTAAGTCCTAGTAGACAACTGATTCATTTCAAGTTATTACTGTTCAACTAACTTGCTGCATATTCTTATCATACAGTGATTTAAATTATAGGAATTCAATCTAAAAAAGATCTTTTTGTTCTTTATAGGAGTAAAATGAACCTGCATTTTATCATAAAAAAAACTTAGATAATTCTAGCAAAGTCCACAGAATAGGTGCTCAATTAAAGCTATCCAAATGTTTCATTTAGCTTTCTAATTTTATTGAAATATTTGGGTCAAGAAACAATGGTAGCTACTGAAACTTCACATCTAAATTAAAAGTGTACAATTTATGCTATTTTATAATCACATATATATTTCCCTAAGAACTAACAAATGTTACTGAATTTCCAACTGTTTATTCTAAAAATGAGAATCTTGTGCACAAATATATTAATATACTTAGCACAATAACAGTACTCAGTACCATTAAAGAATTATGTCATTGGGGCCGGTGCTGTGGCATAGCAGGTAAAGCTGCTGCCTGCAGTGCCAGCATCCCATATGGGTGCTGGCTTGAGTCCTGGTTGCTCCACTTCCGATCCAGCTCTCTGGTATGGCCTGGGAAAGCAGTGGAAGATGGCCCAGGTCCTTGCGACCCTGCACCCGCGTGGGAGACCTGGAAGAAACTCCTGGATCCTGGCTTCAGATTGGCCCAGCTTTGGCCATTACGGCCAACTGGGAAGTGAACCAGCGGATGGAAGATTGATCTCTCTCTCTTTCTCTCTCTCCCTCTCTCCCTCCCTCCCTCTCCCTCTCCTCTCTGTATAACTCTGATTCTCAAATAAATAAATCTTAAAAAAATCGTGTCATTAATATTCTGAAAAAATATATTCTTTCCCATTTTATTTATGATTCTTCTATCATTTATTTCAACAAAAGTAACAAAAATACACATGAGGAGGAAAAAGTTACCCATATGATACAAAAGCGCCAGCTTATTTATCTGATCTCCTAAAATCTTTTCCACAGAAATGTGCTTGTTTCTTGAAAATTCTTTTATAGCATTTTCTTAGATCTTATAATTCCTTGAACTCTGTGGCAACACAATTTGCTTTTAGTTTGCCATGTTTGTGTCTGTACTTTAACATTCTCTGTCATAATTATGTTTTGCGAGGTCATCTTCAGGCATCTAAAGCTTGTAATCCAATGACTTTATAATTAAGTACTGTACTCACATCGTGTAAAGAACAGCACAGGCAGCAGATTTATTTAATTGGTAGCCACTGAATATCAAGTACAGCCATATGTGCAACATATATTCATTAAAAAGCTCTAAGAGGTTTCCCAAAATTTAAATACTCCTTTCTTTTCTCATCTGCTGAGATAAAATACTTTGGAATACTTGGACCTGCCCTCAAATAAACCTTTCAGAACTTTCTACTGAGTGATTCTGGGGTCTATGTACTGAAGATAACCAGTGAACCATTCTATCCAAAGGGTTCCCAAGGTATATTTTGCAATATGTTGAATACCTAATACAGAATTCTAGGTAAACTGAAAATAAATTCTGTATACCAATTTTATACAAAGAACCAAACTACAAAGATATTTGTCAGCTATTTTCAGTACCAAATATTCTTTGAGTTTTAAATTTCAATACTTAAAAGCAATTAGTAACCAATATTAAACTATGCTAAATCCTTAGACTATCCACTCCAGCCTTTACTACGGTACTACTTTATTATTTACTTATGAAACTCTATTTTTTCATTGATTCTCATGTTAATGTGACACTAATACAAAGCGAGCAGATTCAATGTAGTTCCTAGACACAATCCCAAAGAATATAATGTTAGGAAGAAGAAAATCCAAATATCATGATGTTTAGCTAAATGGAGGTGGGGTAAAGTCACGTGGAATCTCTAGTGTTCTCCGTGAAGCCGTCGACAGCTACATTTTGGACACAGTTCTAGCAACTCATTTTCTCAGAAATAAGCAATTTCTCTGCTCCAGCCATAACAGTGCAAGTTAGTTTGGACTGCATTATAGTTAAGAAGAGAAGGTATTGCATTTCATAAGGCATTTGTCTCAGTGCCTTTCACGTTACAGAATGTACCTCATAAATGTGGTGCGTCACAGCAGCTGCCACACCAACAGTATTTAAAATTTCTAAAAGCCTTTAATGTGCTTTTATATATAAAAATTTACACACATACAAAATATATGTATTTATATAAATATATATGTATAAATATATATTTGTGTGTATATATGTATATACACACACACATGAATTCTGACACCCAGCACACTACTACAGAATACAAAGACAGCCTTGAAGGACAATGTCCAAGTATTTAGGACAGTGAAACAGCATCTGGGCCTGAGAATTACATTGTGTAAAATAAGTGATTGATTCAGAGATGCTTTGGTTCCCAGCAGAAGTCACCAGACTGCTCAGCTCTCTCCATCCATATCAGGTTGCTCATTTAAATTCTTTCCTAATCTGAATAAACCGCTCGAACAAGATGGAAATACAAGCTGGAATTCCATTTCCAAGTGTCCTTAGCCTGTCCACTTGCCCGAGGAGGAGTTCCTGGTGGCAGGCCCTTCCTTTGTTGCAAGATGATGTGCAACAGAGAAGATGCAGGGCACATCTGCCCTGCGTTAGCCTTATGTGCTCCCAAAATGACCAAATGCCTCGAGAGAGACAACTCAAAGGAACCTCAAGTTCAAAAATCCAAGTTGCTTATTATAATGCACTCATATATCGATTTTATCACCAAAATACCTAGCTGCATTTGTTTTCCTATATTACATGTCTCAATTGTGCTAGAAAACAGAAATTTCTGAAAAGCCCTAGCTTTGTTATATAAATATTAGCTGATTTGGAGATCATAATAACACATGCTGATATTACTGAATTCAAGGAGAGATGCGCGATTTGTCAGTGAACAGGGATCTAAGAACCTCCCTTCCTGGGACAGGATTTTAATCTCATTTTCAAAGACATTCTTTCAGTGGCAGGAATAACCTATCCTGAAATGCAATACTCCAGGTCCATTCTGCTTGTACTCAGGGAAATGGTGCTTGAGTCACATATTTGGCAGCTACACCCAAGCCTCAAAATGAACCAAACTCAGCGTGCCCATCCCGCTCCACACTCGGGCTTTCCCACTTGCTGTTGAGACAAGATCTTCGGGCTTTTCTCAGTAATCAGAAGCAAATCAGCTGTTATGAGAAAGGAATAATCCACCTGGCAAACTGATTGCACCCTGTTCTCCAGCAAATGTACCTTCCAAGCTTACTCCATCTGCTAGAGCAACCGATGCTTGATTCTTTACGTCATTAGAAACACAAAAACAGAAGCTGTTTTCCTCACTAGGTTATGTCAGCATCAATCAGCAGGGGTAGGGCCAAGAAGGGAGGCAACTGTCCATTTAGGACAGCCTTAGCTCACGAAATTGACCTAAGGAAGGCATTTCATGAGAATGAAAACCCAGAGGGTAACGTCTCCTTACCTGATAGGGGTAGTTGTACCAGCAGTGCCTTGTATTCCACAACCAGGGACTCTGAAAAAAAAAATGACAGAGACATATTTTGCATGTTTGAGAACATGAATAAGAAGATAAAAGACTTTCAGGGCAGGCTCTTGCCCCCAGTATTTAGGGATTTCAGCAATTTACCTGTGTGAGAATTCAAAGGCATAAAATAATAAAGGATAGATATCAAAGGAATTAGTATCCCAGCATGCAGTCCCTCTGTGTAATCTCCTACACTCAACTGGCAGTGTTTCAGGGTGCCTCTGAGAGGGAGCCTTTGCTGGCGGATTTTCCTATTTTGCTGTTCACTTAGACGCGTTCCTGTTACGTAACCAGCCTCAACAGCAGGACCTCTGGTGGTCTCACCATACCAGATGCCAATCACTCATCCTGTTGTTTTCAATAAACAATGTTGACAGTTGGTACAAACTACCCTGAAGTTCCTTAGACTGTGTTCACAAAGCAATGTCACGTGCAGGGACATGGAAGTCTGCTTGCTTCAGAAGGGAAGCTCAGACCAACCCGCACAGCACACTCCACTCCTGACCTGTGACCAAGGGCTTTTTATGACAAAGCAGCCATTCTGAACTGGGCACCAACTACTTACCTTGCTATGCTTTTTTATCAGATACAAACTCTAAATGTACACATAGATTCCAAATATTTTTAATAACCAGGAAGAGGCTGGTTATACTACTAATACAAACTAACCACATATTTTTGTATTTGCTTTAAAATTCTTTTGTATCCATTGTCAAATGCTATGTGCAATTTCTATTAACATTTCCACATATTTGACATACATCTATATATTTCTTTAAAAAATACGTATGTATATGAGAGAGCCAGAGTGAGAGTGAGCACATGTGCTCCCAACTGCTGGGTCACTCCCCAAAGGCCTGCAGTGGCTGGACTGAAGCAGGCTGGCGTTGGGAGCTGGGGATCTGATCAAGGATTCCAGTGTTGGTTTCAGCAATCCAAGCACTTGACAGCTGGCTCCCCGGGTGTGCATTAGTGGGAAGCTGGAATCAGGAATGGAGTAAGGACTCGAACTCAAGCACTCCAATATGGGATGCAGGCATCTTACCGGTTTCTTAATCCGGATGCCAAATGCCTATGCCTACTTCTGTATATTTCTTCTGACTGACCCACCAATCTCATCAGTCCTATCCTAATGGAACGAGGTTGATTAGTTTCAGACAGTAAATACTGAGTCCTCCCCCATGTCCCACACACTTTCAATGGAACATAGGTGTATTCTCATCCTTTACAATAGCTACTAGTGTCTATCTTGTTTTGTAGATAGGTGCCCTGAGTCTTGGTAACTGCCCAAGTTAAACAGCTCAGTGGCACCAGAAGAAGAAATCACACTCAGACTGCGTGCTTCAAACCCACTGTGTGGTCCATCTCGGAGACTGGTGACACTGAACCAGACCTCAGGGTAGGCAGGCAGACTGAAGCACAATGTCTGTCATGCTCTACACCCCAGAATGTCTAGGGATCTTTACAGTTTCTCTTCATTCAAGTACTTACTACTCATTTTCTTCCCTGAGATCTTTCCTGTCCCTGAGTTTGCCATCTGCTGCCTGTTCAGCACTGTCTGTATCAAGTAATCTCACTGCACTTAACCTCCTGAGCATCTGAGTGGCCTGTCTCCTCTGTTTCTCTCATCTGTAACAGCAGTGTTCATTACCGACCTAACTGGGAGATTGTGAGGATCAGAGGAGATGCTGTGAATAAAACACTTTGGAGGCTTCAAAAGTTCAATGTGTTAAGTACTTTTTGCAGTTATATAAACAAGACACGTCCATTGAGGATGATATACACAATACAGAAAAGAAAAAAAGTAAATAATGTAATTTATCACCATTATCACTCTGATGTAGAGCCCATTTTTGGTCTTCTTTCCTAGATGATACAGATATATAGGTAAAGATACATTTATTTTTAAACACAAGTAGATGTATGTTTTTTCAAATGTGGGCATTAAAGTCTATTTTAAAGGACAGTTATACATGCTAGTTATTACCTTTCTCTCTGATACAGTTGTTTATTATCTCCTCAGTTAATTGAAAGACCCTAAGGGAAAATTATGTCGCATGCATATGTTAATTTTATTTTTTCTGCAGTGAGTACACTTCATTTTACAGCTTGCTTTATCGTAGGTCACACTGAGACAAACACCACCATGTGGACGCATTGCCGCCCTCCTGCCTGGCCATGTGTGCGCCTGGGAGTTAGGGCAGGGCGTGAGGAGTGCCACAACACACGCATATTTCAGTGTTCACTGGAAATGCTACCTCCATTTTCCAAGGAAAGAAACTACCAGAAGATGCCACCTGCTGGGCCCTTGACCCTGACCCCCACTCCTGGCCGCCCTTCAGAACTGGCCCTGATGTCTAGAAAAGTGGCTTCACCATTCCAGGGGAGGGGTCTGGGCCCCAGGGAGGGGGAGGTACAGGCATTAGTCAGCTGCTGTCACCATGAAGCCTCAACTCAACTGGTTTGGGGCCTGGTGGTGTGCACAGAACCAGGCCTTCCCGTGTGTTCCACCATGCATGCCTGGACACACTGCCACTGCCCGACCACCAAGACACCAGAGGCCCTTGAAAGCCAGCTTTTATTATACTCCTACTTTGCCGCTGGACAGCAGCAAGACATACCTGCTGTGTGGAAAATTCACATGCGCAGATGTACATGGACACACCGCAGCCCACAGCCACAGCCAAGATGACACACAGGTCAGCCCTCTGCCAGCTCTGAATACAGGGGAAGGAACGGGATCCACCTTTAATACCCGCCATGCCCCGCTCTTCTCATGGAGGGGTCCAGGGCCCAACCTGCTCTTCCTGTCTGAGAACAGTTTCCATCGACTCGCTTCACTGGGCCTTTCATGCTGGCCTTTCTCATTGGTCCTAACCGGAGACTGAGGGACGGGCACTGGGAGCCAGAGAGACCCACACACTGTACGGCCGAAACACAGAACAGAGCTGGAACCAGCTACGTGCACACCAGCAGTCCCTGTGCTGCCCGGCAAGGCCTCCCGTGAGCTGGCATGCTTATGTTTACCCCTCTTATATCTGCACCCAAGGTGACAGTTAGTCCCTCATTCACTGCATGCTGATGGAAAGGGAAATAGAATTAAATGCAAGGCCTATATAAACCTAGTAGTATTCTCCTAAAGTTATCAGTCCCAAGCTCATCAGGCATGGTCTGCCTGCTCCTAGAGATGTAGCAGGAATTTCTGACACTGTGGCCATTCCTTCCGGTCACAGGCAGGACAGAGAAGATATGGTTCTCAGTGACCCAGAAAAATCCATATTTCAGAGCTTCCTTTCCTGTGTGAGATTCTTGGCTGACTGGCTTTCTTCTAAAGGCAAGCTTTTCCCTGTGTGCCTCAGATGTGCATCACCCAGACCTGCTTCTCCTATGTACCCAACACTTGACTGAACTAGAGAACCGAAGAGTGAGCACTCGTCTCTCAGGGGCTCCTGCCCAGCTGAAGCCAGGGCAAAGAGCTAACCACTGCAGATGTGATGGCACTACCAGGGCCCTTGCTCGGCTCCACGAGCTTGTTTGCTAAACATTTTTAAAGGTCTCTCATATACAATGCATTGTCATATATATCTATATATATATATACACACATACACACATATATATCCCTCACTTTGACATAACTATTCATGTAGTTATATATAATTATATACCCACTGCAAAAGTTTACAGCAAAATTATCTTTTAATTCCATTTTTCTACAAACTTCTTGAACTTCATTCATATACAGAGTCGCCTAGTTTGTATTCTCACTAATAGGTGCACCATGGTTAGTATCCTTGATTGTTTTGTAGACAAAGAAATAATCTCAGTGAGGAATAGTCATCAACGGCCACCACCAGTTGGTCAGTGGAGGAAATGGAATGCAAACTAGGTCAGCCAGGCTCTCCTACTGTATATTCTCCTCGATGAATCAAAAACTCTCAAGGGCATGTGGAATGGACAACTCAAAATGAGTTACTGTCTACAAACCCTGAATTTTAGGGTTAGTAAGAACCTCCAGTTCCTGTTTAATCTAAGCAACGATCCACATGTCCAGATGGATAAGCAGGCCTCTTCCTGTCAAAGAGCTCCAGGGCTATCAATCACTCACAAGACCTCTCAGGCTGACTTCCTGCTTTTTTCATCTTGGTCAGCAGAATTTTTTTTTTTAAAGTATCTGATATAGACTGAATTGTCTCCATCTTATAACCCCAAGCTCTTATGTTGAAACCCTTAACATGACTATATTTGGAGACATGGCATTTAGGAAATACAGATAAATGAGGGCATAAGGGCAGTGCCATAAAATAGGACTGGTGGCTCTGTAGGAAGAAAAAGAGAGAGAGGCAAATGCACACAAGTTCAGAGGAAAGATCATATATGGGCTACAGTGAAAAGGCAGCCATCTGTGCATCTGTGTGCTGAGAGGGCCCTCACTAGACACTGACCTGGGCTTGATCTTGATCTTGGAACTTCCCAGAAATGCGAGACAAAAATCTCTGTTGCTTAAGCCCCTGAGTCTGTGAATTTTGTTATGGCTGCCTGAGCTGAACAACACAGCTTCATACAACTCCTTGTTATAATTAGTGCATAACAGCTATTAATTATAAATCAACTCATTTCAATTAGAAAGACTTAGGAAACACCTGAATAAGACCAAAGTCAGCCATATCACAGTGGATGAAAAATTACTTCTAACATTCTCAATCTAAATCACAGGGTACATGGGTTTTTTCATTATGTGAGATACATCTGTTCCCAGACACATCATTCGAGACAATGCAGTAGCCAAGTGCATCCATCAATGACAGAGTCCTAGCGGAGGCCTCTGTGGCTTTTCTTACCCTAAGCAAACCCAACCCCAGCACTGTGATGGAGGCCAGAAGCTCTGCCAGAGGTCACCGGTAGCCTCCATTTACATTTTGACCATATACAGAAGACTTGCATGTCAAATATTCTTTGTTTTGTTTTGCTGTAAGAGGAGAATAGAG